CTGCTGACGCTGGCGAACAGTTGATGGGGCGCGTGACGTACCACGGAGCACGTAGGTAGTGAGCCCTTTGTTCCGCCGTGTCTTGGGTGTCACCTGTGCCATGATGCAGGCTGGTGCTCGGCTGTTCGTCACTGACGGTACTGCGGTGATGGTGGTCTGACCTCGACCGGACCAGGTCCCTGGTAGACAGCCTGGTGCGCCAGCTGCCCCCGGACCGTGACGTCACACTCGAAGTACGTGGAAGGTGGATGTCGCGCCCGCTCTCCTCCGTGTCGACGGATGGAGCGAACTGAGCGTTCGTCGCTCTGCAAATGAAATAGTTGATTATGCGCACCGGGTCACTCATCGGAGGCTGGAATTGTCGCGCAAAGTCTGGTCCGACGGCTAAGCTCCGAGTCTGCTTGCTAAGCACTGAATGTACATTAAAAGTGCATTGCACCGTATCCTTGTCGGGGACATTTCAACCGGCACTGGTTGTGTGAAACATTCCACCAATGACAGGTATTTTTGAGCCCGCTATTTTGACCCACCGCCCTCTGACCCTCAAGATGTTGGATCGTTGTTGGTAACATCATGTACCGTTGCATCGCCTGGTTGACCGTGTTACCTTCCATTGTTACACTGCACGTCCGGCGGTCACTTGTTCATGTGGCGCCTGGGTTGCTACGGTAAGAAGACAGAGGCACGATCCAGTGCTGCGGTGACCGGTGTTCGTGCGAGGCAGCCATAAGTATCACACAGGCCAGAGTACGGCGACCCGACTCGGTCAGGTACGCCGCCACCGTCCGACACGCCACGGCCACGTGCCACCCCCCCCCCCCCCTCACCGACGCTCGTCCCCCTCTGCCGACGCCCGGTGACGCCACTTGCCTGCACGTGCTGCCGCCAGCTCGCGCGGTACGGCCGTGCTGTGTCGGCACGTGCTGCAGCTAGCTGGGGAGAGGAGTGCTGAGCAGCGTGTCGGTGCAGCCGGAGCTGTGCGGCAGTTAGTTGCTGACAGGCGGCTTGCTGGCAAGGTCTGACTGCACCCCAGTCGGCCGCCAGCAGCACTGTGCCACCCCTGGATGGCGGGTGAGCCTGTGGCTGGCCAGTGCTTGGTCTGGACGCTCGTGTCACCGGCCCGTCTGCAGGCAATGGACTGCTGTCGCCTGTGCTGGCCTGCGGGCCGCCCGTCGGTCGCACGGGCACGGGAAGCGTGGCGGACAAGCCGGAGCTGTGATGACCGCACATCACCGAGCACCGCACACCTCCATCCCGTCCCACCGCCGGCTCTCCGACGCCACTGCTGCAGCCGTCGCACACATCTGACAATGCTGCAGTGACTGCTACATGGCGACAGTGCACACACGACAACGCTGGAGCAGCAGCGGGACGAGCCCGAGATCCGCAGCGCGTTAACTAGGCTGTTACCCTCCCCGAGGCTGTTGACCAATGGCCGTCCTGCTACGGATCGTCGACGCTCTGCTGTAGTCTCATTGGCTGAATTTTCAAAGAGCCCGCTGTCAGGCTTGATTTCATTGGTTTATTGTTGATATCAGGTCTCCTATTGGCTGATTTTAGAAACTTGGGACGATCCAGCGCGCGTTTGTAGCGGCGGTCCGTGGTCGCGGTCTTATCTTGGCGGTCAAGGCACAGTGCGTCCTATGCCGTGGGAGATAATAACGCCCCCCAACACAAGTGTAGCTTTTTCGCCTGAATGTGCGCGAGCAAAGTAGTACGATCAGTCGCTTGCTTTTTTATTCCGGTAATATGCTACACGCCGAACTATTTGAAGTTGCATCTACATGGCCAACACAGATATTGATGGTTTTACCGCATACTCACTGTCACTGTCTCTTTCTGTCGTATGGAGACTCGCCGTCTCATTACATATCCTTAGCTATAGCGCTGCCCCTACTCCGATAGAAATTACTGAGTTTAGATGGTGCGCTTTAGAGATTTTGAGGTTCTCAATAATTGCGTGGCCCGCAATCTAAGTTTGAAAACCCCATCCTCGCAAGAAAATTTCCCAGGAAAGGCCGGCTTACACCCGGAAGCCCGGCTTCAATTATCTGACGCGTTTTCGTTGTACTCAGTATTCCATGTGACGAACTCGTGCATGATGAAGTATTTAACGTGAATTATATGTCACTTAGTAGACTTCAGTATTAGCCATAAAATTATGGCCATTACTAGCATACACACGCTCATCCAGCCATAACTGTTCTCCTTCTGACTTCAGACACCCTCTGGCTTATACGCAAAGCGACACTTTCTCCGCGCCAAAAATGTGTTGCATGAAGTGGGCCAAAATGCGACCGTTACTATTAGCTCCAGTTCCAAACCTGGATCACCTTTGTCCATGATGTGCTATGTAGCAACGCGCCTAGACAATGCATCGATCAGTTCTGTTGTGAAAAATGACCACGAGGTGAACGCTGATGCCTGATTTAGCAACGTTTACCCAATCAAGTTTACCAAGATTACATCATCGACAAGCCGTTCGTTTCATTTATCGGACGTGCCGAAACGTCCGAAAAAATGTCCCATTCAAATAAGCACTGCCATCACGCACATTTTCAAATCACCACGGGGTTAAATAGCCTGAACTTGCGCAGTCACTTACTAACGAACAAAACCGCTCGCATGTTCAACCACAATATCGGTTACATTGCAGAGCACCTAATAGATGGTGTGTGGAACTACCGAATACTGGCTCTCAGGGTGTCCTTTTGCGCGATGAATTACAACAAATGTGCAAAGAGTAATATTCGTTCTAAAACGGGCAGGTAAGGTGGATGGAGATCCTGTTTTGCCGCCAACATTTTCCCTCAAGCTTTTAGACATTTAGACAAGTCCCTCACGCACACATCAAAGCCTACTTGTAGTGAATAAGTGCACCTTAAGCCGGCAGTGAGTTGCTGCATATTGGGTGACCTCTTGGCTTGTCAAGCGTGGTGTACTGTTCGTGAGCGCTGACGACAGGCCTGCCTTGTTACGGTCTGCCGTCCCGTTCGGGCCGTAACAAGTTGGCGTCGCCTGAGTGAGGCAACTTCTGCAACATTGGCCATCGACAAACACGCCCCTAAAATGATCCTTTGCATACTTCTGTGCATCAGCGAACGGGTTGTGCACCATACGTCGCGCCCACAGTGGGCTTCCCCGTTTCATGGCGCGGCATTCTACTCTTGTTCCAGATAATGAACAGCGAAGGAGGCTGGCGGCGGCGGCGACTGCGGTGATGCATTTTGAGGTATCGCTGCCGGGCCGCTGCAGTGGGGCATCAAGCGGCATCAAGTATGGCGAGCAGCCGACCAAGCCGTGGCGGCGGCCCGGCTGCCCGCCGCTGTCGCCTGCCGGCCGCCGGCCTGATCCCGCTGACAGCAGTGGAGCAATCGGATCCGGCGAGAACCCCCGCGCATCAGTGCCACTGGTGCCGGTCGGGCCAGGACGGGCTGATTCGGAGCGCGGTGTCGCTGGTGGAGGCGGCCTCGCTCTCGGCCAAGACGTGCGCCTCGTGCCGTATGCTGACCGACTTTGTGCAGTTGAAGGACGGCGACGTCGCGACACGGCACGGCGCAAACAGTGAGGTCGGCCAGGCTACACCGTGCTGAGTGTGCAGTAGCTGGTCGGTAGACGTAGTGCGGGCGCGGGATAACCCGGACGAGCTGCACCAGTGCCTGACGGGCCCGGGAGCCACCAGTTGGTCGGTATCGGCGATCGATGCCGGGCCGTCGGCCGCGCCAGGCCAGGCGGCGGCCGCGTCGGCGCCGGGCGGATCCTCAGCTTCGATGGTCGATCGAGTGATCGGGACATGCATTCGGCAGCTCAGTCAAGACAATCAGCCGACTAGCTTCTAAAGTTAAGCTCTATCGCCACTCGGTGCTAGACCCCTCCAAACACGGATATTCCAATGGCCGCATTTGTCTCAACCGTGAAGGCAATGCGACGAATGAGGCGGGGGTATTTGCTCGGTGTTCCTGTGATGTCACACATTTAAAGAAGACATCAAAATGGGCGGCGCGAAATAGGTACGGTAAGGTCACGTGAGTCAAACTTAGAAACAAAAATATTTCAACTCTTTAAAAGGACATGGCTGTTTACTGTATGGGGTGACCTTGAAACAGGCTATCTCAGCTAAAAAAAAAACGTACAGCTGTGTAATAGCCTATTTAGGTTAAGGCCGTAACAATGAAGTTGCAACAGTTAAAACGCAATCATTAGAGTTGTTAATTCTCAATGCACACTTGCGATGAAAAACGAGATTTCCGGTACAAACCATACTGCCGCACGCCGAGTTTATTACCTTCATATCTTATAATTACTTGACACTTGGCATAGCAGGTCATCTTTATGTGACGATGATTTCTTTAGTTTGAGCCGAGTAATGTCATATGGTCAACATGAAGATGCCGTGACCTTAAAACATCAAAGCATAAAAATCAGCAAACCAGAGGAGCCGATGTGATCCCATCCCGTGGACGTGATGTGAGACGAGGATGTGATCGGGGAGGGTACGACAAGGAAAAGAGTGATCAACGCAAAGCGAGTACATCAGAGAAGAACTAGTGCTAACTAACGCCATCATGCTGACATGTAATGTGCCTGTACTACCTGAGCGGGTGTGGGTGGGGTGGAGTTCCACCCCGGTCCGCTGCTGGGGTGGTGCTTCATCACCCGGCCCGCTGCTGAGGTGGAGCTTCATCACCCCGGCTCGCTGCTGGGGTGGAGCCTCATCACCCCGGTCCGCTGCTGGGATGGAGCTTCATTGCCCCGGTCCGCTGCTGGGGTGGAGCTCCACCTCGGCCCGCTGAGACGTTCCATACCCGATGCGCAATAGACATCGCGTGCGTCTATACACCGACCACAGTGACTGGACGTTACATACAACGTACTATGTGCCAGATGTGATAGCTCCCAAAACCTTGATTCGGCATCCATTTCCATCTACATTCGCTACAGTGGAAAATCACACAATGCCACAATGGAAAACATCACACGAGATCCGTCACACACAATCCTTCGACGCGTTTGTCCTTGCCATGTATTCAGTTCCTCCGCCAGCACAATAGTGGTGGCGTGACGTCACCGGCCCCAGAAGCCGGGCTGTGCCCAGGGCGGCGGCGGCTGTTGCCTGGGGCCGCCGGTAGGTGGCACGCCGATCGGCGGCGGCGGCCGCGAGAAAGATGGCGGCGGTTGACCGAAAGGGCCCGGCGGAGGCACGTTGAACGCCGCGGGCGGCGGCGGCGGCGCGGTGTGGAAAGCTGGTGGCGGCCAGGTGGGTGGCGGCGTCGCACACCACGACTGTGGCGGGCCGCCGCTGGAGGGCGGCACAATTCGCGGTTAAATGTGGCGTCTGGCGGATCAAAATGCTCACCAACCGACGCCATGCTGGACGGGGAGGTGTGAAATGCACTGCGATCAGCCCAATAAAACGGAAACATTGAATAAGAACTATTGTTTACGGCGTCCATTCACAAAAGACAATTAAGTGGTGCATACCTCTATGAGTTTGTCACGAAAATACGTCACTTACGGAGAAACGATACAGCGGGACATTCCAAAATCCAGACGCTAGACGCAGATGAACTAGCTTAGAGCTCGCTTGAATTTAATCCGTGGGAAAGCATCACTACATCCATGAACTGTACGATTCTTCAATGCGCACGCTTCAGCACCCTTGACCACGCCAGACATGGCCCACGAACAAAAGAGCGCTGACCAACACGAATATCAACACCAAAGGGCCACGAGAACACGCACTGACCTCAACACCGACAAAAAAAAAACAGGAGGATGCCTTCACGCACCTGGATGGAGGCCGGTGACCGTAGAAAGGGTTACGGGGCGGTGCCGGCATCCAGGGCGGGCGCGGCTGCGGCTGACCCCGACCGCGACCTCGACCCCGCGCGGGTCGGGGCGGCCCACCCTCCGACGATGACGCCGCCGCGGCCGGGGGCGCACCTCCCTGCAACTGATGTCATACGATCGAGGCTTTTCAGTTGGTTAGGGTGCCTGCGGCGCACTAGCCAGCTGAGCCATCGAGGCGGGTCAGTCTGCCCTCATGCTGGCGGCAGCGACAGCTGCACACCGAACTTTTCGCCGCCACTAATGCCTGAGTGGATTATGAAACTGACGTGCACTCTACAAAATCAGCTGTTCCTGGAGAGCCCAAGAGCATATCCATCGATCAATAAATACCTGTACTGAGACTGTCTGAAAATAACTACTTCATTCGCACAACATGATACACGTGATATGGCCGTGTATACTGTCACTGCGGCGCATGTGTTGGGGGACACATCATCTTCGCCTTCAGAGGCGCCCAGCGCTTCAGGCGTCAAGAGGTGAACTTCACAGCTGAACGACACAAACACTTTTAGAGGCGCCCAGCTAAAAACGCGCACGTGAGTTTTACGTCACAGTTTTTTCTTCTTTTTTGACAGCCACGCGTGACAGTCCTGGGAGCTCAACGCCCGATAACTCAACTTGGAACGACGTTCAAGCATCCACATCCGCAGGCGGAGAGCAAACCCCGCCTGCCTCCCGACTGACTGAATAGATAGATGAGCGAACTGCTTAACCGGTGATTCAAATGCCACGGACACGCGACTAGCCAGGCCGGCACGGCAGTACCGGGCACGAACAGCCCCGACGGGGGAGGGGGAGGAGGCGGACAGCCAGACTCCTGCTTGCCGCGGTCATAGCTCTGCGCTGTGCCAGGTGGGAGCAGAACATCTCACTCAGTACCGAGGCCGTGTGCCGAGTCACCGAATCACCGAGTATAAGTCAGGACGAATGAGATCGCATCCACTCTTTCCAAGTCACGCTAAGGAGTTACTGGAAATCCAAGGATTTACTGGAAGTGAGTGTTCAGCAGAGGGGGGGGGGGGGGAGGGGCTCTTGTCGTGCCTCTGCGCCCAGCAGCAAAGCGTCACATTACAACGTACCGCGGGTAATTTCACTGACCCACCCGTCATCTTCCACTCGGTACCTAAAACACGCACAGATCACAAATCTGCGAGTCCACCAAAGTATCCGGGTCCCAGCTGTCCCAGCAGTCCTAGCGGCGCCATCGGTCCCATCGGCTCCATCGGTCCAAGCGGCCCCATCGGTCCCATCGGTCCCGGCGGGTATCGCCGTCACGTGCACGCTCACCGGCCGCTTCCTGGCCTGGCGCCGGTGCGCCCGCTCCTCCTCGTCGTCGGAGAAGTCGCGGCAGTTCTCCGGCGGCTCATTGCAGTCCCACCAGCTGGCGTCCGAGCCCCGCAACCTGCGCAGAGCGCGCCGGGTCGCCGGAGGTCACACAAAGGTCGGCCTGGATCACGCTCGACAGACGGCTGTCGGCGAGCGGCGCCGGGCCACACGCGTCCGGGTCCCGACAAAAACGCCGCCAGTGTGTGAAGACCCCGTACAGACTGAGCTCAAGCACCGCGAATGCCGAACCATTTGCGCATCGGGAATTTCTCGCGGTTTTCCGACATTTTGAGGTGATATGCTGATAAAAATACCACGCATCGGTATACAAAGAGAAGCGGTGTAAGTCTTGATCATTTGAGGTTACTGCCATGCCCAAGTTTGAGCGGAGAGAGGGTAAAATCCGGGCGAAATATGTCATTGGTACATTTTATGGATGAGCTTATTCATTTGTCCACGCTTAGCAGTATCGTGTTGGATTGTAACGCTGCACCCCTAAGCAGGCGACTGGGGCTAAACGACGTCATCACATCACTGAGACATAATTACGTAATTCGTCCATTGGATTAGCAGGGAACATATGCCACGTAGATGAGACTGGGGTTAAGCGATGTCATCACATCACTGAGACATAATCACGTAAGTTGTTCATTGCATTAGCGAGGAGCACAGGTCATATAGATAAGACCGTAGTAATAGCCTTATTCCTCCGAGAAAAACAAGGATAATGGATACATTTGGGTTCATACTTCCGCCACATGCCTTTATCGAAACAATAGGAGAAGTGGTATATATACACCGCCTCCTTCATAAAAAGAGCGAATCACACATTCCACGGCAGTGCTCGTGGCGGGCGTGGCAGGTAATTTAAATTAAGTCCAACCGCAACCACGCATTTTGAAAACGATGCCCCGGGTGAGGATCGAACTTACGGCCTTCAGACTGAGACTGACGCGCTGCCCCTAGCAGCGCAAGTGGCATGTATCAACAACCCGAGGAATGCCAAGAGGAAGTCAGACGTTTCGACTCAACACTCATGTACCCGGTTTACATGGGCAGCCGAGGATAATTCGAATTAAGATCGGAACGGATCATGCGACGTTAACCCTCTCGGCGAGGGGCGTTTACATGGGCGAAACCGGCTTTACGTCGGATTAACGGTCGATAGTTCGATCCCGCTTAGTTCGAACCAAGGAACGGGTTATGGGCGAAAACTGCGCTTTTGAGGCGAACTGAACAAAACAAGAAGAAAAAAGCCGGTACTCTGCGTATGGATGGCGAATGTCACGAGCCATGGTGGGCGCGAGACAGCTTTGAGGGCGAGGAGGAAGATGGACTTCGTTGGAAAAATGATCTGTGCGGGACTCATAGGCTTTGTAGCTACAGCACAAGCCATAGCACTTGAAACACAGGAGTTGCGCAGTCAGCACTGCCAAATCTGTCACATAAGCAGTGTTATATATAAATTTTTACTAGCAGGAAACTGGCTAGCACGAAATCAGTATTTTCTTGTATTGGCCAATGACACTCACAAACTTACCACACTCATCAGTATGCCACCCAGCATCATGTCATCTACTTTGCGCAGCCCAAGAAACACATTACCTAATCCCGCACCAATGCATTTATGAGCAGCCTGCAACAGTGAGCTAAGCTACGGAAATGACTCATGAATGCTACATAGTTAGTGGCAAAAATTGTGTAACTATGTTGTCTTTCCCCATCCAATGCATCATCAGTACCTGAGGGCAGCATTGCCATTTAGACTTGGCATGGACTGGCAAGTCAGAATGCAGCTATTTGCTTTCTTGACATACTAGGGTTGAAATACTGCTTTGATATCCTTGCAGTCAACAGCATTGGCTGATATGGACTGATGGCTAGGTGGCACAAACAGCCGTGTTCGCACAGTCCAAAGATCATAACGTGAACCAGCCCCAGAGCTGTCATGACAAAAGCAATCTGGGCTCAAAATTCATAACAAATGATTAATTATAGCAACAGCTCAATTATCCACCTCATGGTTTGCAAAGATATGTGTCACAAAAAAGCACCAAGGCAACATATTTACTCACCAGTACAAAAACAGGTAATGATGTGCACTGCAGATGTTCTCTGCACATCATGTGGCATTAGGTTAGGTTTACTTAGTTAATGCACTGTTTTCTTCCACATGAAATGCACAAACCTGGATTTGACAGAGTACTGATGACAGCTAATTTCATCCAGTGCTCACATTTGCTTTCTTGACATTTTGGAACCATCACTGGGCAATTTTGGTCCCATCATTAAAAATAGTCCACATTCTGCACTGACTGCAATGATCTATTGCCTATATTTGTTGATCCTTTGCATCATGCAGGAATTATTGAGTTACCTATCTCACACACATTAAACTGACAAGCAACAAACAGCCTAATTGCATCAAAAACAAATATTCCAGCCCCCGCTTCCTTGCCAGTTGGTCTACCAGTGTGACGTAACTTCATATTTCCTTGACAAGCCAGTCACCAATATCCAGCACATCCCTCCTGCCAATAGGTGGTCAACCAAATGTTCAAGTCACAGGAGGAATGTCTGCAAAATCAATCCTGGGGCATTTATGTATTCACCTAATGAAAGAAACTATTGGTACTCCCTGCAAGAATTGTTGAACAGTTGAATTACCTACCTCGTGGCCTGCAGACACCCATCACAAAAAAGCACCAAGGTGACATATTTAATCACCAGCACAAAAACAGGTGATGATATGCAACACAGACGTGTTCTCTATGCAGCATGTGCCGTCGTGTTAGGTGTTAGTTTATGCACTGTTTTCCTGCACATGGAACACACAAACTTGGATTTAGCAGAGTAATGATGACAACTATTTTCATCCAGTGTTCACATTTGCTTTCTTGCTGCTTTGACCCCATCATTGGGCGATTTCAGTCCTACCATTAAAAAAGTTCACATTCCGAGCTGAGTGCAATGATCTATATTTGTTCATCCGTCATATCATGCAGCAATTTTTAAGCTACCTTTCTCACACAAATTAAACTGACAAGCAACCAGCATCCTAATTTAAGGAACATCTGCAAAAACACTCCTGGGGACTTAAGGTATTAACTTAATGAACGAAACTTGGATGCATTCTCTGCAAGAATTTTGAGCAATCCAAAAATTAAAATGAGAACAAGTCAAAGCTATATAAAATAACCATATTACCTCCATCTGGCTTTTGGAAGCATGGAGCCTGCCCCAGATGTAAACTAATCTAACCTTTAGGTGGAAAGATAGCACCAAACACCGTCGACGCGTGCTGTCTGCATAGATCAAGCGCCTAGCAAGGCTAAATTACGTGAGCATTTCTGTGCTGCTAGCCACTCAAGGCCCTCAATAATAAGAGTAGTTTTAGCAGCATGATGTCAACTTCACCTTCCTTCCCTTTTCCCTTACCATCTTGGACTTGAACCGTCTCGAGCAATAGCTAAAAACCCGTGGAAAAGCGGTAACACCGCACAAAGCTGAAATGGCTATGAACAGCACTGCGTGCGCCAGGCATTTTTCTTTTTTTTTGTTTAGACAGCTGACGGCCGATAATTCGGACGAAATCCCTTCCTGAACGGATGATCCTCTCACGGGAAGGGATTTCCTCCGGCGCACGATTCGAATCAGCGGAACGGCGCGTGAGTGTATACATGGGCCGGATAGTTCGGATCGAGGACGGGTCCCGGCTTAATTCGAATCACAGCTGCCCATGTAAACAGGGTAATGGTTACAGCAACATCGTTTCTTTAAATGGAAGTTCGGCGCACCCTCAAATTTTGAAAATTGTGCCCCGGGTGAGGATCGAACTCACGGCCTTCAGATTATGAGACTGACGCGCTGCCTACTGCGCTACCGAGGCAGCCGACAAATCGGGCCGACAAGTAAAAAGGCCCAGAAACTAGTTGTTCCGCGCCAACCAGGAACAAACATGAGCGTAAAATTCGATTGCAGATATGAACATGCGTTCAGTTAACCTACAAGCCCTTGGAATATCATTTACTGAAGACAGAACGAATGATAAGAATATGCCTTTACATGACTGCTGTGTTGTGTGGTGTGGTGTGGTGTGGTGTGGTGTGGTGTGGTGTGCTGTGCTGTGCTGTGCTGTGCTGTGCTGTGCTGTGCTGTGCTGTGCTGTGCTGTGCTGTGCTGTGCTGTGCTGTGCTGTGCTAGTAGAAACGGATTAATGACAGCGCCACCCAAGGCTTGACAGGACGTGACAGGATGGGACCGCACACAGCGCCCCACCTCGGCTCGTCTTTTTCTGTGCAGTTTTGGTTGCCTCTGTCTCCATTCCAGCTCTGGTCCGATCTGGTCTGGTCTGGTCTGGTCTGGTCTGGTCTGGTCTGGTCTGGACAGGTCTGGTCAGGTCAGGTCAGGTCAGGTCAGGTCAGGTCAGGTCAGGTCAGGTCAGATCTACTCGGGCTCACTCCGGTCTAGTCCAGTTCGGTCTGGTCTGGTCTGGTCTGGTCTGGTCTGGTCAGGTCAGGTCAGGTCAGGTCAGGTCAGGTCAGGTCAGGTCAGGTCGGTCAGATCTACTCGGGCTCACTCCGGTCTAGTCCAGTTCGGTCTGGTTTGGTCAGGTCAGGCCTGACAATCCTGGACTGGCTTGGCTTAGTCTGGTCCGTTCTGGTCATGCCATGAACATATTTGTTCTGTTCCATCCTTCCTCCTACCCCGTCAGTTTTCCGCAATCAATCAGGTCCAGCCATGTCCCAGCCGTCCCTGTCCTGGCCCAGTTGCACCGTTGTCCCTGACCAAGTAGCACAGTTGTCCCTGGCACAGTTGTACCGATCTGGCTTCTCCCGGCGCCTGTAGTCCGCAACAGCACAGTTGCGGCTCCATGGCAGAAGCAAACGGGTCAAGAGTAATTCCACCTACCTCCAAAAAACGCTCCTCACTTACTTGCGCAGCGCCTCCACGAACACGTAATGGCTGTACTCGTCCGAGCCGGGTGCGTAGAACACGTCCGCGCCCGCCTCTATCCCGAACTCGCGGATCTCCTGGAGGGCAGAACGAGAGCGGTCTCAGGCACGGCCATCTCAGCGGCATCATCGGGTGGGCGTCATCAGCGTCGGCAGCCTCGGGGCCGGTGGCTCTCTTCGAAGCTCCCGCAGACGTGCAGCTCATTCTCAGAAGCTGCTGATAGTCCTACGATAAGGCTATGGTCTTTGGAACCTTTCTGGTGCCAAAAATGGCAACGTCAAACGCCTTTTTTTGTTGCTGTTGGTTTTTTCTTGGGGGAGGGGGAGGCAACTTACCTATTGCATTACATTTCGGATGCCAACGACAACAGAACTTAAAGCGAATTTTGAGCAAGATCGGGTCATTTCCGTACAGTGAGGACTTCCTCCAACGATTCTAGACGGCGCCACTGAAAGGCGCTATGCCTCTATGTGGAGTGACATAAAAACAAGGCCACTTTTGCATGCGGGGCTTTGGTGCAGGTGACCTAAACCTGCCCCCCCCCCCCTCACGGCACGAGGCTCACGTCAGGTTAACGATATACCATGACCACGCCAACAAACAGTAGATCAGGACTACTCGCAGTCGGCGCGCGCTAAAGCTGCGGAACATCATCAGGACAAGCCACATTCGCTGACATGGATCTGTGGGGCAGGCACCGCGATCGCAGGCACCAGAGCCACGGTGAGACTGTCCTCTGTGCCTGTCAAATGACCCTGGTCTCATCAGCTCCAGCAGCTTCCTGTCACAACGCACGCGCTCACGCCTGCGCTCGCGGCAGGGACTTCCACCCTTGAAAGGACGGGCCACCAGGTGCCCGTTCGCAATACAGCCCCCACAAGTAGCACCATTACGATGGCAAGCTTATACGGCGAGCGAGAGAAACACCGTTCACCCAGCCAATCACGCCCCTTCGGGGAAGAACTAAGCTGTCGTCAATGACTGGTAGAAGGAAATGTCTGTGGATTCAAATAAGAATGTTGGGAAGTTGAATTTGAATACAGGAGAGCAAACACGACCTGTTACTGGCAGGAGTGTACCACGCATTTTCACTGGATATTGCACAAGTCACTCTCCACTTCCTTGCAGGCGTCTAGTCTGCCATTTCACCGGGGGCTAGCAATGCTTTACCAAAAAGGCACAAAAACGGCCTATCCTTGGAAAAATCCCCCAGGTAGACCTTAAACTGTTCACATAGGTAGGGCGGTAATAATAGCACCACTCCTCGGAGAAGAGGAGAATTCTGAAGAAACTCGGAACTCGTACACATCTGTCATAAATTACACCGCTGCGATTGTTAGTTTTTTTGGCAAGTAATGGCACGGGATTTAGGCCATGGAATTTTCAGAGACGTCTGGAAAGTTATACCAGAAAATAACTGCAAGATGTATGTGCTGCAAGAGCAGATGCCCATGAATCATGGCATTGACACGTTTTACAGGCGACAGCAAAATACGACATTGACATAAGAGGCCCTGACGGGGAAGATTCCCGTTACCTAATCCACCCGCCATCCATGCGGCTGGGGTCATACCCGCCACCCATGGGGATGGGGTAATTCCCACCCGCTACCCATGGTGGCTACTCATCCATTATCCCTTCAACCCATTGTTTACCCAGTTCACCGGAGGCCTCAAAATGTCATCATGTAACATACAGCAACACAGCAGAGGGCATTGCAAGGCTCACTGGTCACGGTGGCGAACTTGTGTAGCGGGCCGTACATGCATGTCATCAACATCGCCCGGTCTCGCGTCATCATTGTATGCTAAAGCGTGACGTTAAAATGATAGACATGTACACTAGATGTCATGTTCCACCTGTAATTACTGTCCATTCTCACGTCCATGACTGACGCGTGACCTTCGGGACCTCCCACCTACTGGTTGTTTCAAAGGGCGTCCTTATCGGCTACGTTGTATGCCACACACACCAACGGCAGTTAAAAGGCCACAACATGACCTCATCGTTCACGTCGGTGACACACAGCAGGGCCAGAGGTGCAAAGAAAACTGTATGTCAGAACCCACAGTCCCGGCCATCTTTCAGAGAAAAAAACAAAATTTTCAGGATGGAATTCTTTAAAAGGTCAAGGATGTTACAAATGTAACAAAGGTCACAAGATCACGTGATCACGAAAAGACCGGGAGTGGTCATAATTATTTATCGCGGCAGCACCGGATCGTCCCAATTAATTTCTGGCTCATCTTTCTAGATAAGCCTCAATATTCGACGTCATATGTTGTGGCCCATATGACCTCGAGAAGTAAATGTCACTTGGATGTCGTATGGGACATATGTGACCCTACGCGCGAGATTTCATCGACACCGGAGAGGTTACGGTGGGCACGACTGGCCTTGGTGCAGCCAAAAGCTCATTAGTATCAGGCAAGGTCCAGACTCTTCTCGTAAACACACGGCGAGTCTGGGTGGCATCCCATACCTCAGGCGCCTTCGTGTTATCTGCCAACCACGCTCGACCGAGCTCACCTCCCAACTTCCGCCTCCTGCTACGCTGCAAACACGAGCGCGCGCGAGCGAGACGTGTCATTTGACGTCACGAGTCCCGGTCTACGAGAACCCGCGCGCCGGTGGCACGCGGGCTCCGTGAGTGCAGCTACCTCTGGGCTGTTGAAGCGCACGCAGTAGGCGGCGTGGTGGACCGGCCCCATGACGTCATAGACGCGGCCGAGAGGGCGGCGGCCGCTCTCGAGGAACAGCACCGAGTCGATGTCGAGCGGCGGCGAGCCGGGAGTCGACTGTACCACCACTGGTGACAGGAGATACAGTCAGACCGCTGGTGACAGGGGATACAGCCAGACTATTGGTGCAGATATACAGATCACTGGTGGTGGGAACCTCTGTCAACCTAGTCAAACCTCTGGTGGTGGGAATACAGTCAAACCTCTGGTGGTGGGAAAACAGTCAAACTTCCGGTGGTGGGAATACAATAAAACCTGTCGTGGTGGGAATACAGTCAGACCACTGGTAGGGGATACAGTCGGACCACTGGTGGCGACACAGTCGGACCACTGGTGGGGACACAGTCGGACCACTGGTGGGGATGCAGTCGGACCGCTGGTGGGGACACAGTCGGACCACTGGTGGGGACACAGTCGGACCACTGGTGGGCACAGTCGGACCGCTAGTGGGGATACAGTCGGACCGCTGGTGGGGACACAGTCGGACCGCTGGTGGGGACACAGTCGGACCACCGCACTGGTGAAGTGGAGAGGTGCTGCTAGTGAAGAGGACACGAGACCAAATGTCATGGCGAAACAGGCAGATCTGAGGTCATAACACCAGTAAACTGCAGACGTCGTTCCCTGAGCCTTGTGTGCGACCGGTTCAACCTTCCTCCCGCCCATCACCCTGGCCGATCTAGCCAAACCAAGTGACAGTCTGTAATTCCTCAGCCAGTGAAGGCGCAGCAACATCAGTGAAAAGTCCATCCATGCAGGTGTCCAAATAAAACAATCAATGACAAAATAGGAAGACAAACTGCATCGCTACCAGCGGGGCCAATGCCCCTGGGCTTTAGGCTACATTCAGTCGGGCCGAACACAGCACTGGTTCAAACACAGCGACGGCTATTCTGCCCACATCTTCAGATTCATCGCACTCTGTAGCAGCCAAAACCCGCGTGCAGTTTTATAGACTCGGTGGCATAATCAGGGAGAGCGTCCAAGTGAAGTGCAACGAAAGATCAGGTAACCTCAACACACTTTACATCAGAGAGAAAAAGCTATCTGAATTGCAGACCGTTTCCCGTTCAGAGAGGTCGACTCCAGGCCGGTATCGCCCCGTGAGCGGACTCGGCGCATCCCGTCCAGACAGCATATGGTCGCGACAAACCCCTACTTAATCTTTTTCCGCAGAGATGAACATCAAATTGATTATGCCAGAGGCTCGGAATAAGTCACAGAAGGCGCCCTGCGCGTGACGTTCGCAGCGAAGACAACAGTACTGCAAGATGGTCGATTGCGACATATCGTTTCAATCGATTGCGTCATTCTTGACGCAAGCGATTACTGCGATCACCAATGAACCCATGCTTTAGCCCCGGCGAGAGCTAGGCTAGTGAAGCTCACAGGTGAGGGACACTATCGGGGTAGTTCCTTCCGTCAGGCTCTATGACAACGGTAATGGAAATGACGCCGAACACGTGGCAGAAGATAGAAACTTGCCGTGTGGAGATCACGCACAACTCACAGACGACAAAACCACACAGACAAGCAACACAACTGAGCTCAATACAACTCAGTGACGCCAAAAACAACACAGGATAAGCGGCACACCGCAAGGGCTTGGTTTTGTACCATAAGTGCAAGACGGCACAGCCTACCACTGAAAGCATATGGGGGGGGGGGGGATAAGGATTCATCAGACCAGGACCACCGCCGATTATCAGGTCACCAACGCATAGGAACAACATCACATAGGAACAACCCACCAACTGAGCGCCACGCAGGAACAACAGCCCACCAAACCAAGACCACCAAGCAAAAACAACCCACCGACTAAACACCATGCAGGAACAACAGCCCATCAACTGAACACTTCCCAGGAGCAACAACCCACCAAATGAGCACTACGCAGGAACAACAGCTCATCAAACCAAGGCCACCAAGCAACAACAACCCACCAATTGAACGCTACGCATGGATCACAGCGCACCCACGCGAAACCTCGCGTGGAAAGCGGCCCACCAGCCGCGGCACGACGTTCGCCCACCGCCGCCCGCGGGCCGGCCAAGCCGACTCTCACCGAGACACTCGACGACGCTGGCCACGGTGCCCACGCGCGTGCACTGCTCCTCCGGCAGCGAGATGCGCAGGTGCTCGATGGCCGGTAAGTCCAGCAGGCCTGCGACGTCAGAGAACGACGTCACAGCGTGGCCAGGGCGGGCGGGGTGAGACGAGACGAGACGAGGTAAGACAAGGCAAGGCAAGACAAGACAAGACAAGACAAGACAAGACAAGACAAGGCAAGGCAAGGCAAGGCAAGGCAAGGCAAGGCAAGGCAAGGCAAGACAAGGCAAGCCAAGCCAAGTCAAGGCAAGGCAAGGCAAGGCAAGGCAAGGCAAGGCAAGGCAGGGCAGGGAGGGTAGGGCAGGGCAGGGCAGGGCAGGGCAGGGCAGGGCAGGGCAGGGCAGGGCAGGGCAGGGCAGGGCAGGGCAGGGCAGGGCAAGACAAGACAAGACAAGACAAGACAAGACAAGACAAGACAAGACAAGACAAGGCGAGGCGAGGCGAGACGGGGCGGAAGGGGCGGGGCGGAGAGGAAGGGGCAAGGTGGGGTAGGGTGGAAGGGGCAAGGCGGGGCGGGGCGGAAGGGGCAAGGCGGGGCGGGGCGGAAGGGGCGGAATGAACAAGGCGGGAGGGGGGCGGGAGGGGCAGATCAGGACGGGGCAGGGCGGGAGGGGAGGGTGCGGCACAGTGTTTGGGCGATGACGGGGTGTAGGTCGGTAACGCTAAATAATCAGGAGCATGATGCCGCGTGTTAAATTTGCAGGGTGGAGAAACAGAAGGGTACAAAGTACACACCTACTGTACTCAAAAGTACACACCAACGTTTTAGGGGATTGGGCCTGCCCAGAAAACCTCCTAGTCTTCTGTATATTGGAGCATGTACCAAATTATGTTTGTAGCAGGTATTCACATAAAAGAACAGTCTGATTCTATCATGGATGCAAACATGGGACAACGGCGTCCACCTTTTATATCGGCCATAAAATAAAATGGACATAAACAACATAGAGCTCATACACTGCCCATTTGGATACTACCACAACAGGTAAAGCTTCTACTTCTCTCCTGCCGGCCACCGACAACAAACTTCACTGGCCCACCACCGAATGAAGCCTATCTGCGCTGTTCGCGGACAGACTGAATCCTGTCCGTGAACCGAAATCAGCCAGTAAGATCACTTGAACAGCGGCGTGTCTGCTGCAGCCGCCGCTGTCCTGCCAATGAGCACCTTCACCCCAGGGAACTTGCTAAGCCACCCTGGCCCGGGGGCAGAGTTGCTGAGCAGCCATGGACCTACGGCAGGGTTGCTCAGCACTCGTCCCGAGGACAGAGTTGCTGAGAAGCTTAGGCCTGAGCACTCACATAGTTCTCCTTTGGTCATGGGCCCGAAGACACGCCGAGCCTTGTCCTTCTCGCCTCCCTCCTCCTCCTCCTCCTCCTCCTTCTCAGCGACCTCCTGGCCGTCCGAGTCGGAGCTCGAGTCGGAGTCGGAGCTCGAGTCCGAGTCGGACTCGGAGTCCTCCGAGCTGCCGGCCACGGGCGGTTGTTGTCGGGGCGCTTCCCGCCCAGCGATGGCAGAGTCGGGACGGCAGCAGAGGATCACGTCTGAACACTGAGCCGGGAACGTGTGAGCGCCCATACCGTGCCTCCACCCCTGTCTCCACGACCCGCATGCGGTCTAATGGCAGTTGCTGCAGCGAGTGGATTGACACATACATCCCTGGCGGAAGTTGATAGAAGTGGCGCATTAACTTGCACCGATCACACTGTTCGCCGACATAGCATTAGATCAGGACAAGCCGACGAGCATCGGATATAAATAAATTCACAGAGTTTATGCATCAACCAGCCAATAACGCTTATCTGAAGACATTGCAAGTTCGTCGATTGTCGTTTATTTCACCCTATACTGTCGGCCACTTCCACCCCCTGAAAACCTATTCGTTTCCAAAGGCACGTCTTGTTACCGGTACCCCCCTGCTCGCCCACTACCACGCATCTACACCTCTCTCTCCACAGCCCCTGTATCTCTTCCACCTCGCTCGCAGCTCCTTCCACCTCGCTTGCAAACCTTTCCACCTCACTTGCAGCCTTTTCACCCCTTTTTCAGCCCCTTCCACCTCGCTTACAGCCCTTTCCACCCCGCTTGTGGCCGTTGCCACCTCTCCCGCACCCCAATTTGTCTGCACCTGTTCCCACATAACCTAAACACTTTCCCACCTCCCAAGTGCCCTCCCTACCTCCCCGGTCCCTCTGTCTCACCTCCTCCCGCACCGCGTTCCCTTGCCTGCACCCTCTATGATGCCTGTCCCCCTGTCCCACACCGTCCTCACCTGTCAGCGGCGCCACGGACAGCGCGGCCGTCAGCGTCCGCGGCGGTCCACCGCGGCGCCGGCGCCCCTCCGCCGAGCCCGCGCCCGTCCGGCCGGGAGCACCACCACCCCGGCGCTCGTCTCCACGTCCTGGGGCGTGCCGGCGGCCGCCGCGGGCTCCACCGCGCCGGCGCCGTCCGTCGCGGGGGAGATGAGCTCCACGGGATCTGTTCCACTGAGCGTGTTGTCCACTGCACTGGATGTGAGGTCCACGAGGTCCACTTTACCGGCAGTGCCGTGCGCTGTGCCGGAGACGACTTCCACGTGATCGCCTCCACCGCTAGCAAAGTCCATCTGGTCCACCCCATCGGCGGTAAGGTCCATGCGGTTCTCTGCGCCGGAAGTAATGTCCACCATGGCCACGGAAACCGGGCTGTCTCTCCGCTGCTGCATCGGATCCGCAGCGGATACCGGGTCCACAGCGGACAACGGATCCGCAGGGGACGCTGGATCCACAGCGGACACCGGACCCACAGTGGACACCGGGTGGGCCAGATTCGTCGCGGGTCGGCCCGCCGCTACTGCTGCAACAGGTCCCAGAGGAGAGCACTGGTCAGTGAAGGCACGGCCATTATCAGATAGGCGACCGCGCCAAGACATGCGTTCGATGACTGCACAGCTGACTGCACCGCTGACCTGCACCGCACCAAGAACCCACGCGCTCGAAGGCGGATCCCAGCGCAACCATTCAGGGCAGGCAACAATCCACTTCCGAGGCGTGGGAGGCGGCCGCGCGGCGTGGGAAGTCAGCTGGCCACCGATGTTCTCACGGGAACGCATGGACCTCAGTGGATAGTCCTATCGGTGGAATGAACAGTCTGACCTGCGTGGAGAGTGCTGACAAATATTGGCGTGGAAATGCTATTGGCAGCGCGAATTTAAGGGATGCGTTCCACAACTGTATTGGGTTTTAAACTGAGAGAGCCATTTTGAAGATCGTTCGGTGCAGTTAACAGCCCTGCCCTTCTAAGGATGAGCCTGTTCTGAACTAGGCGCCCGCGAAGTCGTGCAGACTAATTCGGTCACCCAGGCACGCATGAAACACGCCACAAGGAGAAGATAACAATATATTTAATGGCATTCCTTGCACAAAAAGTGCAAGAAGCGTCACTAGAAACGCACGCCATAGAAACTTCACTCAAATGCTGCCATCATGTTGGCCATACGACGTTGAAGGTCAATGAAAATATGATCTTTGCGTTAGTCGTGTCTGATGTACGCAAGCACGATCTCTGGAACCAAAGGCCTTCAATTGGCTCTCAAACAACGCTACGCATTAAGCGCAGGTCTAAAAAACAAACCATGTTTCACGCTACATTATACAGGAAGTTGGACAGTGGTGCTAATTATTACGGAAATAGGATACGTCGGCGAACACCCCCAAATTAAATACCTTAAGAATAGCATATAAATGAGCACGTGAATGCAAGTGTACATAAAATCACAGCTTAAGATGCAAATACACCACAAAAGGGCCAGAAGACATGCAAACGACCTTTGTGTCCTGGGAACAGGCACACATTACCAGGACACCTCTCGAAAAGTTGCAGTATTGTAAGTGAGTCAGCCTGTCCGCTGGGGCAGCAATTGCGCACGGCCAGTTCTGCAGCCCTTCTGGACGCCATAAACGGTTCTATGACGCAATGAAAAAGATCACGTAGTGAGGGGTATTTTACCAAGTTGTGAATTGTGTCATCTAAAGCAGTCGTTTAGGGCTCAAAAGCACACCAAAAAATTACAATGAGCATATTTGAATCGTATCTGGGCGGTTGCCTCATTACCTTGAAATGTCGATTATCCCCTTGAACCTGAAAAGTTACAAAATCCTGAGTTTTTGGAGACATGGTGATTCCAACAACTGCCACAACCTCATTGACCAATTGTGTCCTCCCCACATCCTCTATTGAACACTAAAGCAATTTTGTGAAATGGCATGGCATGATATAACATTGTGCTGACTGGGCGCGAAACCCGACGCTCAACACCCCTCCCCTCACCTGGCGGCATCGGCTGCTGCTCCTCCTCCTCCTCCTCGTTGGATTCATCGCTGGAGCTGTACTCGACCAGCGCCATCTGACCGCCGTGGCCGGCAGCTGAACTGCCGCT